AATAATAAATAATTTCAAATAACTGATATGTGATGGTAGAATTTTAAGTCTATCGTCAACATAGAATTTTGGCTAGTAGGTGCTCAGATTGTTATAGAGTTCCGTATTTACAGCAAAAAAAAACAATTTTTTAGCCAACCCAATAAGCAACTGAATTCTATAGTACTATTCTAATTGTGAGCGGATCTGTGCGTAACAAACATATGTTTCATGCTCAGTTACATCAACGTTTGCGTTCCGAACAAAATGAAAAGAAGAAAAAGGGTTGAAAGGGTACACTTCCAAGAATTTTTGCAGATAATTATGAATTATATGACTTACCATTTCGGTCGTTGTTCGTTAGTGCATGTTCTATTTGAAACACGGAGACATAAGGCCTGATCAAAAAGTAGTGATATTCCCTGTGTTTTATTCTTGAAGAACCGTTCATAAATTTAGTTTTAAGCGAGACATATCCATAGTGTACGCTAGCAAATATCTCCTCAAACTCCTGTGCATCCTATATCATCGAACCTCAAAGGACAAAAAACAGCAGGCATTTTTGCTACAGGTGAGAATCAAAGCGGTAGCAATCCCGCTCAAGTGTGAATCCATTTAGTTGTTGCTTCCCACTGGCTACTACCTACTTTCTTCACACTTATGTATTGTTACGGATTACTCTTTATGCTAACCGCTGAGTAAACAAAAGCTGAATTATGCACGCTGCGTTGATTGTAATCAAAATCTTAAGTATAAAAATTTAAAAAGTCAACCTGTGAGAGGAAAATTGTTAATTTGAATATTATTTGTTTTTGGCACATTGTCTGCGTTCGTCGAAGTGGACTGGGTCAAGAGTTGAATTGAATGTTTTTGCTATATGTACAGTTATGTTTTGAAATCTAGATTGATAATGATAGTATTATAGATAACTTTCTTACGAAAGCATCGAGTCTTGAAAAGGAGTGATCCGAGGAGAATAAGACGGTCAACTCTGAGCAAAATGGTTTTTTTTTCCTGCAAGTGCTATAGGAAACCGAATATACAAAACCCTTCATCAAAATCAAAGTTCTTCTATTTTTTGGCGAAGCTGATGGACTCCATCGGAATAGATTTTTACATTAATCTTTTTTTGCCTCCACCCTCCCAAGCAAATACTAAATTCTAAGAGGGCTATCAATAAAAGTGCATTTGCTGGCAAAGAAAGATTTTGATGTTTTTCCAACTCTTACCCACATCCTAACCTTTAAAAGAAGGCCATGTCGTGCTTATAATCCCAATGATGATAGGTTCGATATTCACTAACAGACGTGCGCATCTGTTTCCGATGGTACTAGTTAAGATGGTTAGCAACTGCATGCTCAAGACCAGATTATCCACTCCTAATTGCTCATTATGTGTGAATATGTTTGTGTCTGGCCAACGGATGTGAATTTTGGCAGCTCAGTGACTAGATGAGTGACACCTTCGACTTGTCCAGCCACTTTCCGGACACGGGATTAAGGCGAATCAGCTATTGTTAGTTGACAACGAACTCAGCGTGACCGTGAGAGGTCTCATCATACTGTATTAGGAGCTATGCGTCGTGGATATAAATTGCAGATAACTATTCATTGACAACTTCATGTTTATACAGGGCTAGTAGGAATTATCTTAAAGTTTTGATACTTTTTGTAAATTTAAGTGAACAACGAATTTTTTGACGTTCATGGTTGTCTGATTGTCAAGCTTTGTGCAAGTCTCTTTCTCTAGTTGGCTGGTACCTTCACTTGCTTACACAAAGGCTTTCAAAATGCGTTGAGATCAAACAAAACTGTGAAGCCATGGAAGGAAATGTGAAGCTTGTAGGTCTTTAGTTTGGAAAGACGCTAAGAAACGGGCATTTAAAAGTGACCTCATTTATAGGGTCAAACTCTCAAACTTTATGGTAATGACTAGAACGTTGTTGACTAAAATCTCATTTATTTTACTCACTACTGCGCATTACGCGATGAAGTTGTAATAAACCCATTCTGATTTGGAGTAAGCTAAAAAAAAGATTAAATCAAACAATGTAATCGAGAAATTTTTTGAAATTACTCTTTTTTTCTGATCTCACAAAAAATGAGGAGAAATGCTCAAACATAGATTTCTTGTTCAAATTACCGAACACTCAGAGCATTATTATATTCAGAGCATCTGTCTCAGGACTAAGACCTTTGTGTTGGTCTATTCACCTAAAAGTACTTACAAGGATTTTTCGACCTTTATCGGTTGCGACTAAGCTGTTCATTTTCGTTATGTAACGTGTACATCTGCTCTATGCCGAGCTCTTGACACGTTTTGAGAATCGACGACGAGACACACACTACCGTAAGCCGTTCGTAATTTGTTATTGCTTTGTGTTGTCAAATTAATCCCAGCCAGGATCAATAATTTTATAACAAGACTCGAGGAATTTGAGCTATGCGCTGCACACTTCTGGTAAACAAGCTCAGGCGCGAAAACTTCTGGTATACAAACTTCTTGTTAGCCGCTACAAGCCGTGCAATATGCTCATTCACTTTGGTATAAAATAGATTTGATGAAGAGGAACATGTAGTAGATGGTGATTATTGAGATCTGGAAAATGTGTTGGCTTGATCCATAAGTCTTCCAGCAAAATAAAAAAATGGTTTTTATTTGAATGAATTTTTCTGAGGAAAAGTACTTGGAAAGAAAGCAATGTGCACTTCGCAAATTACACCAAAAATCCTTACTGACATGTCACAGAGCTACAAGCTGTTAAAAAGGAGCAATAAAGTTTCTTTTTTTTATGACTAATAATGCTAGAAGGCCCAACAGACTTTTTGACCTTTGATTGATCGTGGTGTTACGACCGACTTCAAGTGAGGAACTGGTGCTGATTCTGTACCTGAGGACAGGATACTTTGAGAATTCTAATCAAAATTTCGATCACGTACTTCAAAAAATCTCTAATATCCACAGATAAACTCATGATAAAAAAGCGCCAAAGTTTCTATGTTCTTTAGTGCAGGGTTTGTGTACCAATCTTATCAATTTAATTTTGCATACTCCTTTCGAACTTTTGAATGTTCTGAGCAGGAAAAATACATTTGCAATGATTTCTTTACGCCGCCTATCACTAAACGAAGTGGAAAAGTGCACAGTTTTCGTTTTTATGTTGTCTTACAATTATAAGTTTAGTTTTTCGAGAGTTTTTTCAATCATTACTGGAACTCCAAAGTTAATTTGGAAAGTAGAGGGTTTCGTACAAACGGTCTTTTTTGTATGATACCTTTACAAAATTATATAAACTTTTGAAAACTTACCTTCTAAGTTTGATTTTTTGTGAATTACTTTTCTTCTTATTCCGACCCCTTTGCGATGATTAAGCTTTTTGTGGAATAAACTGCTCAGTTTTGAACTTAGCATTTACAATCACATACTGTATTAGGTGACAGTACTAAGGTAATTACTCCCAAACCATGTCTTCACTTCTGTTCGAAAGTCATAAAGATGTCGGGTATAAGATGGACGATCCCACATAGCAATTTGTTTATTGGCGTGCCAATAGTGTAGCTGTGTAGGCACCTGCTGGTCTGCTGCCAATCAAAAACTGAGCGGCTATCGTTTATCAAAGCCGGTCAGTCTCTACCTCTCCGCATTATCTACACATTCTCACCGGAAACAAATTCTGCAACATTTTGGCAGAGCTGAATATTATTACAGTAAAAATACTATAGCTGTTTGTGAGATTTGTTCGAATAGATGGGTGTAAGTTCAGTAGCCACTGCTGATCCGCAGTGAGTGTCTGCGATTACGGTAGATTACGTATTCTGATCCAGAAACTGTTTGTCTAGCGCTGATACTGCAATTTGTTCAACTCCACGGATTAGATGACCGTAACCTGTGTGAAATGTGCCGGCGCTGCGGTGCGCGGCTACAGTCGGCAACTCCTTTCACGTTCGTAAACAGGTGTACGCGAACTCGATACCGTAATTGCACTACACATCTCTCCAACCTTAACGTTCTCGATTCACTCCATTGCGCCACCGATTAGATGTGCATCTTTTAACAAGGCAGTTAACAAGTGCATGCGCGCAACGCTTATTTGTTGCTTTATAGCGTACCGCCTAGTAATCATAAACTGAACGAATAAACGAGGCCACTGCTTTTGTGCATTCTTCCTCATTCTTCAAAAAAATAGGAGAAGAAAAGAAATGTAAGAAGGCATGTGTTTCAGTAAGAAATATGACAAAGTCATTTGGGAAAAAAAGGCAAGCCTGACGAATGACTGACAGGCATTTGTGTTTGTTGTAAACTTTTCAGAATCTCGCGCTTTCAACATGAAGCCCTTCTACAATGGAAAGCTTTTTAGTGAAAAAACAAGAATAATAAACATTCCGACTACTGTAGGCAAGCTTATTGGAAGGTTTTTGAAGTGCTTTGAAAGTTCGTAAACTTCGCATAAATTCCATATTGAGCTCAAAGTTTGCTTGAAGCAATGGACTTGGTAAAAATCCAAGATTCATTTTTTAGTGAAGCAAAAAGAGTGCTCCAAAATTGTCTCTTGTGCGCAGTCTCTTCTGACGTATTGCAAAGTTTAGATTCAATTGAATCAAAATAACTAAAAACAACGAAATTACAATTTCCGTTTTGATCTCAAACACTGCAGGGAAATTAGAAAAACATTGTCACTGACAAGTAATCGTTCACATAGGAAAGAAAGTTCAAGAGAGTTCCATTTTGCTTTCAGTCATTACAGTGCTGAGAATTTTCTCAGTGCATTGATAGTCTGTGCGACATCTCGAAAACAGAACATAATTTTCATCAATAAAAGTATTCATTTTGGGCATAAAATATTGATATATACAGTCAAAGAGAAAATAATAAAACGCAAGGCTATCATAGGCATACGATAAACATTTACTAGTTGGTGATATGACCACAAGCGTCGTTGGACACTAAACTACAGGAAGGCTATGATAGGTGAGAGGACATTGAGATGGCGTTAATTTGCCCCATAGGCACACATCCGTAACTCATTTACTCATTATCCTCTCACTAATACGCACATTATACACAATTGAACCCGTCAACTTGTCAAAAAAAGTTAATCTGCAAGCAGGTAATTAGAATTTCTTAAGCATTTCCTGCTGTTGTTGTTGTTGGGCTAGATACAGATGCATTAGGTCAGTATGGGAATAAAATGTAGGAATTGGGAGGATGGGACGAGGAGGAAATGGATGAGGTGGACGAGGGAAGACCACTTGACTGTACGGAGGGAAAAGAGCCGCCGCAGCAGCGCCGTATTGCTTGAAGGCATCCATTCTGGCGCGACTCATGGATGAGGGCCGTCGTCGTAGTTTTCCAGTAGCTCCACCGATGAAAACTTCATCTTCACACGAAGCATCCAACATCCAGTAGTTTCCTGAAATTTCAACGATAAGAACTTCTCAACAGAAATTTTAGAGCGAAATTTGACATAGTGATTGATTGTTGCAGGGTAAGATGTAGCGAGTTACCCTAGAAAGGAAGCTAATCAATCCAATGACGCGAGATGAGATTTTCGAGGGCTATTGTTTCAATTTATATATTCTTTTCTTAGACCCTTCCACATGAGCTGAATCCCTAATTAGTAACTCTACAAGCTTTCGCCTCCCTGAAAATCAGTATGAGCAAAGAAAGTAGTCGACTATGATGGCGGAAGTTATCAGATATCCATGCTAGGCTATTTGAAAGACGCTGAGGAGTGGATTTTTCCGGATGTTATAGAAAAGCACACAAAGACTTTCCCTGCTCAACAAAAACAACTTTTGTGAAAGTCAAACAAAATAAGTAAGTTAACCAAATTTGTGATGCTATGATCTATCAAACTTTCACTATTTTTATCAAAAATCTAAGAGAAGTACTAAAGAAATGCTACTGAAATCATTATCAAAGTATTTTGACTAATTCACAAACTGAGTTAGGTTTGTCTTTGTTCGATAATGATTTAATTAACATTCCTTGCTGATGTAAGACTTTAGCTTACACAAATAGTATTGCTCTGTACCTACCTTTTCCAGGATCATCGAAACTTCTTGGCACTTTCACAAAGCACTTGTTTAGAGACAGATTGTGACGAATAGAGTTTTGCCAGCCTTGCTTATTGTCACGATAGAAGGGATAATTTGTCATAATGTAGTCATAGATGCCGGATAGAGTCAACCTAAATAAATGAGATAGTAGTGTACTATGAGCAGTCGAAGTAATGTGCGGCTTGAAAATTACCTTTTCTCACTACTGCTTTTGATTGCCATCATTATGAGAGCGTTGTAGGAGAAAGGCGGCTTATCGTTAGGGTTGGTTTTCTTTTCATTGTCTTCTGTTGAGCCTTCTGGTGATTTTGAGAAGTCCTGAAAGAATTTGTTAAGGTTTCAAGCAGTGTTGAAATTGTAACTCAAGTGAAATCACTATCGAATTTTGGCTCACTTTTGTGCTATCTCCACTTTCGGACGGCCCTTCTTCAATTCCTTCATCAGCATAATCGTCTTCAATGTGATTGGTAGTGGCTTCCGATGTGGCTACATTTTTCGTACCGGCTGTAAATATAGTGTTGTCAGCACACGTCTGCGCTTTTACGTCAAATAGTGAAAATTGCGCGTGTTTCAATGAATCAGTCAAGTGAACAAAGGCGAAAATCCCAGAAGCGCTCAGGCGGAATAAAGGTTAAGATTGGTCAAATAAAACATAATCTTCCAAATAGATATGATATGCTTACCTTCTTGCTTGACAATAGGCCTTGATGATGATTGATCAACGAGATCCGGGCAAAGATCCATAATCGAAAACTTGGCCATCTTCTCTAGCAGGTGAAGCCGACTTGTGTGTTCTTGAGAACCCGAGATAGTTGACACACACTATTCTCAGCAATGGCAACAAACTCAATGGGCGTGGCACGTTGTCCAATAAGAAGTTCTAGTGGGGCGGGATTACGCTCTACGAGCGAATTGTGTACGCGTGTGGGCGGGATCTCGTACCGTAGCCAGGTGTCTATAATGATGACGTTGCGGTGGTTGAGCGGCGTGGAACGTGAAAACAAAAGAAGCGAAACGGGACAAGTTTTGATATAGGTTACAAAATAGTGGAAAACGTGTTGAAGAGAATGGTAGGATAGCAGAGGTTGGCAAAAAGGAGTTTTTGCCGGAAAACTCAATTGCGTCGGTGACAAAATGGATGAGAAAACAAGTGGGTATCATTATAGAAGTGCGGAAGACTTTATTTATTGAAAAACCAAAACTTCTAGAGTTCTGCTCCGTCTGAACACTTACTAATGAGCTTTCTTATTTTAGAAAGTGCAGTCTGACTCAGATATGTTGCGTATCGCCGTGAATATTTTCTAAACATTGAACACACCACTCTTCCCAAATTGAGACTTGTGAACTCGATCATGGAAAGTGAGGCACGGAAGAGACAACCTTAGACAGCAGGTTTTGAGGAAATAAAACCCAGAGAGCAAATTATTGAATAGTGGTTGAGTTGGAGAGCACATTTAGCTGAAACTTTTGACGAGTTGTAGTTTAAATATTGATATCATGATTGACAACGAACAGGCTCGCTGAAGTCAATGACAAGCGCGGCTAACGCCCGAAGCAAGACGAGCAGTGACAGCACCGACCTCTAGCCGGACACATACGCAATAACCGCAAGAGTCAGAATAATTTGATGAACATTTGGCTAATCTGAGCCATTGGGGACTGATAGTTTTCTATACTTAAAATGCGCAGAAATGAAGAAAAATTACTTCTGAAAACATGGAAATGAAAACATTCTATCTTCTTTTTGAGCGAAAAAAGTTGATGGGGAAGAAGATTGCCAAAGGATGCTTAACTTAGCACAAATCTCTAATTTCATAGCAAACCACGTTAACAAAATGCGTACTACCTCAAAGCTTTCATAACTACCATGCTCGTAAGCCACTAAGAAAATCGCAGGTATGCCTCATCATGTGCTCTAGCACACCTTCAGAAGTAGCTACATACCTAGAGTCATTAGTAACTTATTATGGAGTGCACACTATGTGCGGCAACCGACGACGCCCTTCGTACTCCTTGGTGAAACCTTGGTAGCGTAACAAACTGTAGAGATGTATTTTACCAAGTAATACATATCACTTAAGCCAAAATGACAAGGAAACGAAGATAAATTAGTGGAAATGAGCAGGTTTGAATTGTACAAGTCGTAAGGTAGCGGGCATGGTGTGCAAAACACATATTAAGTTCAAGTGACTCGACAATGCACAAGGAACATGTCTACGGTCTCACAAGAAGTCGATTCCGCGATATATGTTCAATATTTTCACTTTGTCATGTTTATCACATACAAACCTGCTCTGCTTGTGTCAAGAGTGACATAGGCTAAATGTTTCGTTTGCGAGCAGGTGTCAGCACATAGTCATTGCAGGTGCACGTTGACGATCGCAACGAAAAGTATCGTTTTTGTTGCCAAATATGTCACTTCCACACATGCAGCTGACAGAATTTACGATATAGTAGCGTGAAACTTTTCTTACACAATGTTTTCATGAGGTTTTTGGAGCGAAGAGAGTTTGGTGAAGAGACTAGCCGTAAAAGAGTGCAGATGGATGCTATGGAAGGGAGTAAAGGGGAAAGTGAGCGAATATACGACCAAGGAGGTATGGTATAGATATGGTATGATATCTTCAGGTGTGTATGACAATAGTATAAAAGAACTGTGAGTTGTTTGGTGTTACAGCCCTTACGAACAGGCGTCAATGCTTCAGGCAACGAGGTCTGCTGCGATATCGTAGCTGTGAAGTACCGGACTCTGGCGCAATCATCCACACCTCATTAGTACACTGTAAAAGGCGACCGCTTATGACATCTGGCTTCGTTGTTGAAGGGCCAAAAGTTAGAGAACATATTGGGCCAAACAAGAAAATAGGTACAACTAAAAATCCTTAAACTGTAGGCTGCTCAATCAGTTCTGGATATAAACGTGCAAGCACTGTCCATCGAAATCGGACCCAAAATATCTGCTTATTTGCTAAGTTCTTCGGCAAATTCAAAGGATAATAATCAAGATGAGAATAAATCTCAGACTCTGCAAAAACTAAATAGCCTCAGAAGCCTACAGTTTACTCAACAGCAGATCCATACTCAAAGCATATACCTCATGAAATCAATGAGATAAAAACTCTTTCAAGAAAACTTTTAGTAGGAGATTAGAAGAGAAAGTACTTGTTTAGCAGTTTGTAAATGGGCACTTATAGGTAGCTAAATTTACTGACATGAATAAAAGTGAGTAGACACAATAGATAAATGATAGTAATGTGATAAAAGTAGAATCAACTCAGCGAAAACTGTTTGCTATTCTATATTTGTTTCGTTCCTTCCTTGGACAGAGTGTAAGATAGGAGACTCTCAAAAACTCAAGAATACTGATTTCTAATAGCTAGAATCATGATCTTTTTTGAATATGGCAACTGTCAACTCTCAAATAAGTTTTCGAAACAAGTCTAAACACAATTTGCACTACAAAGATACACGTACTGAGTACTAGAGCTCAACCACAAAATGATTAGCCAAATTTAAGAAGAAGCGCTTCCTTCTGTGTGCACATAGATGTCGAGTGGATAGTTGGCATGGTTAGTGGCCGAAGCTCGTCAACGAATGAGTAAATAAACAATAACAATGACCGTTGAGAAGCAATGGCAAGTTGTTTGAACACAGCTTGGAAAGCTAGCTAAGGAATATGACAAGTAAGATGAAGGGTAAGCGGGAAATTTGAAAAAAAAAAAGGTTCTTGGAGCCGTTCAAACATTGCGAATGAGATCATTTCATTTTCACCAGATTTGTTCATTTCAAATACTTCACGGTTGTTTGCTTCAATCATTTCTGTTCGAACACACAAAACATCAGTGCAATAATGAAAATAAATAGGTAAGTATTGAAACTTGGCTTCAAAGTTACCCGAAAATCGGAGCATTCCGCATTTTCCAAAAAGAGGCGAAAGCAAGAGGTACTAGCAGCGCATATGTTATCAAAAGAGTATCCTATAGTGCTAATTGCCCCACCGAAAGACGTCATGCTGAACTTGGCACTTGTCCATTAATAAGGTAATAAGGTGCTAATGAGTGTGCAAACCGCGACTGGAAAAACATTGAACATCAAAGAATATGTCTTTTCGAATCTTCACTTCTCGAAAACAAAAGAGCTCGGCGCGCGAGCGGGAGAAATGTTCGAAGCCCCTATAGAAGGAGACTGTTTATGTCGGCGAACAGTTCCGTTTCTATTATGAACGTTCTCCCAAAGCAAAAACACTCCAAATAAATATTCGAATGTGGCGAAGGAATCATTTCTCAAGATGTTGCGATATCGTAGAAGATCTTGGACGCAAAAAGCTACTAACAAAAAAATTCTCAAAAGACTAGATCGAAAGAACTGTTGCATTTTTCGCTCAAAAATGAAAACGTAAACAAATTCGGTAGCATACGGAATACAACAAATCATGTTTGCGAATAGCAGTCAACCATGAATGAGAAGATTAACGGATGATTGACGTCTTACAAAACTTTGATCACGGTTCGCTGATGTTGCATAGAATGTACTACAACAATCTGTACGGTACGAAACTAGCATTATCATTTTCCTTTTGCCTACCACTCATTTTGCCCTTGTTTTGAATTTTGAAGATGCACTTTATCTTTATCATTACAATCAAAGTGTACCATTTAATCTATAAAATACTGCTAGTATAGGGCCAGTAATCCTAAACAAAGAGCAAAAAAGAAAATGTTTGTACTTCGGTGCACAAAAACAATCATTTACAACCAATCTCCATAAGTTGCAGCTCTACAATTGAAGCAAATGGGAAAATACTTTTTTCCCTGCAAACAAAGTATACAAATTGTACAAAGACAGTTTCCTCAATCATTTTGTTATACTTTGACGAAAACAGTTTGTCAATTTTTTTTTTGAGGTAAAAAAGGGCACCTGAGAAAGCGCAAGCTGTCAGGATGACAGCGTTTGCATGAGGTGGCTATCAATATCAGCTGTTCTCAACATACAGTAGGGGGAGAAATGTAGATTTCAAACAATGGATTTTGTCGATTGAGAGGGTAACTGTGAAAATAAGGTTGTTTTTTCACAGAAGTCAAATTTCAATACTACCATCGTAAAAATATTTATTTGAGGGATGGTGAGGGATGATGTTATTCAACTAAAAGCATGGAAGTGGTCCAGCTGCTACTCGGAAATCTCTTTCACAGTGATTCCACAAAGAAACCAACCCCCTTCCTTACTCTTTTGTCTTACTGTTACTGCTTCCAGTAAACAACTTCAACAAATCAACAAGCAGATCGAGGCGCTTTTTCTGAGAAAACTGAGAGTTGAAAAATTAGAGGGAAAACCGAAATTAGTGCTTGATACTTCTTGTGGTACTTTACTACACTTTGCTACTTCAATATCACACTCTTTGTCTTCTGTGTTGTGCTTTTTCTGCTCGAAGCATTCATCTATACATTCACGCCGCACCTGCGCCTTCAATCGAACAGAGTTATGATTTAGAATATAAAATTTTTGAAAAGAGTTTATTTCGTTAGAAAGCGCTTAAGAAGTTGAAAAAACGTAATAATCAAACTTGTCTCACTATGAGCCTTCCACCAGGCGCATTCGTACGCTCAGACTCATAATGTTATGCAAATTTAGTGGCTTCAACTAGAATATGGTCAAAACTTATCGAACTTAGCAGAATTTTATCCTTTTTGGCAAAACACATAAGTGAGACAGCGCTTGAGGTTGTAAAACTTAAATTGTAATATAAAATATCCATTCTGTCACTGTGTACATTCTAAGTAGTAGTCAGTATAATAAAATCTGGCTAGGCAACAGTGAGCGTCGAAGCGGCATCGCTCAAAAAGAGCAACTCAACGGCGCGACAGCCGAAGACCCACACCCTTCTTCCATTGAATTTGGCCCGAAATGACTCATAGGAAGCGATGAATGAATGCGTTGGAGAATCCATGACTGCAAA